CCCCGACGTACCCCTTTCCCCGCCGGCTTCGAATTGCGAACGGATTGACTGGCTTGGGCCCCGCCAGCTGGATCAACTCATGTGGTTGTTCCGACGACCGGACCACCTGCGTCATGATTGCAAGCGGCGTGAGTAAAGTTTTTTGCAACCAATAAGTTGTGTCTGCCTCTCCATTCACCAGCCCGCCCTGATGTACGAGTGTAACTCGAGTCGGTCCTGGCCGTCCGAGACAGCTTCCAGCAGTAATTTCCATTCTTGTTGTTATTTAATCAGTGATCTTGAATCTACACAGTGTGGTATCTTTTACAAAAAATTCTACCCACAAAGGCTTAGTAAAATCTAAGCATTATAAAATATTCAGAAATGTCATTTGGACATTGCTTCTCATCACCAATTTTCCTCCTATATTATTCTCCTATCATTGCAATAGATAAGTCATTGGTGTTGCCGTTGTCTTCTCTGCTCTCTTCCTGCAGCACATTGTATGTTAGTATGCATTTTGCTTCTTTATTTTTCAAATCAGTTGCTTTGCAGCTGCGCAAAAGTGGCTGGAGTGGATATTCTTGTGGAGCTTTTCAGACAAATGGTTGCCTGTGAATACAGGAAACTCAATTGTATGCCCAAAGAGGTCTCTTTCAATCCTGCAATCCTGTTTCTTAATATTTCTTCTTCTTATAATGCAGAGACTTTTGTCTTTTCATAGTTTGATAATTAGGGCTTAAAGTATCCAGAGAATATAGGATTTATTTGGGACACAACTGATTGCTAATGTATTGACAGACAGCATTATTTAATCCCACATCTAGTATAATATTAATGAAATTAGCAAACGGTTCTAGCCTCCAACAATTCCCAATTTCATAGTCACGAGCCCATTGGTATTCAATCTTCTGATGTGCACAGAGGTAATTCATAATAAAATGGCACTGCAGAATGTTACAAGCTGGCTTCATTTCAAAATGACAGGTTTGGTGTGCTGCCTTCAAAATGTTTGGCAAGACAGGATGAGCAGACAAGAAGTGCAAGGGTCCTCAAATTACACTTTCCTCAGAGCTAGTAAGGAGGAAGAAGCTGAGCAGTATATTTGCAAGTTTCAAATTCAAGTTTCCTCATACCCACACACATTTTACTCAACCCAAGGCATATATATTCTTTATTTTGCTCTCCTGAGTTAAAGGGGTTATGCAAGGGGCTTGAGAACCTTAACTTCACCACTTAACACAGGGGTGGGCAAAATACAGCCTGTGGGCCAGATCTGGCCACTAGGCAATTCTATCTGGCCCATTGTGCCCCTCCATAAGTCCTGTGTAAGCCCTGGTCCTGGGCTGTCCCTCTGCAAGCTCATGCCTCCATGCAGGAGGTGCAGCTCTGCTTGCTAAGCAATCACCACCCTCCACCCCACCCTGACATGACTCACCCCAACCCTGAGCTAGTGGGTGCTAGAGACAAGAAACCTCTCCCTGACAGAGGCTTTTTCCTGGCCAACCAAAGACTGTTCCCAACCTCCCTTCCTGTGAGCCTGGAAATGCAGGTATGGGCCCCACTGGGCTGGGACCAGGGACTCCCTTTGTGGGAATGGGGTCAGGAGCATGGGATACACTATGGGGTTGGGCTGGGCTGACCCTGCATGTTGCAGGAGTGCAGGATCTGCATGCTATGGGGGTGAGTGAGGCTGGGCCCACAAGCTGCTACCACATGCAGCCAGGAACTGGGGTGGGAGTGCAGGATACGTATGCTGTGTGGGCTGGGTGGAGCTGGCCCTGCATGCTGCCACCATGTACAGCCAGGGACTTTGGCAGGAGCTGTATGCTATGGGGCTGGGTGAGACTGGCCCTGCATGCTGCCCCTACCTGTGGCTGGGGTCTTGGCCAGGAGCATGGGAAATGCACACTATGATGCCTGGGGGCTGGTCCCACACCCTGCCACCATATGCAAATGGGAACTCGTGTGGGAGTGCTATTGTCCTGGGTGGGGCTGGCCCCATATGCTGCCACCATCTGCGGCTGGGAACTGGGCTGGGAGTGAGGGGAGTTGCATCCAATAGGGCCAGATGGGGCTGCCCCACTTGCGACACCACATGCAGCTTCAGGGACTTGAACACTCTTGGGACTCCATGGACCCCTGCCCCCGACATCCCCCTCCATACACCCTCCCACACACCCCACCCTTCAACATATTCCTAACACATTCACACCCTCCCACAGCCCTGACACACAGTTCCACACCATGAACCATAATCCCACATGCATCCACACCCTTCCACAGACCCCACACAAACTCTTATTCCCCCCACCAGAACCCCACAGCCCCCACCCACATACTCACACCCACACATGACCCACATGTAGCCATACCCCCCACATACCCACACCCTCCCAGACCCTCCACCCCATACTCCCAAACATACCCAAACCCTCCCACAGCCTCACACACACTTCCCCCACCCTGCACCATACCCACACACCGTCCCACATGCCCCACCTCAAACACCCACCCTCTCATGACCATACCCACACTCTCCACACCCCATAAAGAAGAGTAAAATTATTTTAAGCTACTATGCAATCACCTCTAGATATACCATGCAAACACACAGAAATCAGGACAAAAATACTTTAAAAAATATAATTAAAATAAGTATTAGTAGATATTTGATTTTATTTTTTTAGTATGTGATTTGGGTTTTTTTCCGGTTTCAAGATGGCAACCACCACCAAGGAGTACTTCTGGGGAAAGGGAAAAGACTTCTGGTGGCAAAGATCAGGGGTTGGGGGTGGGACTTCTGGTTCCAAGATGGTAACCAGGGGGCGGGGCACCTGTCAAGGGGTGGGGCTACCCTTGCAGCCCTTGACAGCTCATCAAAACTCATTAAGCAGCCAATTGCCCACCCCAACTTAACATGTATTAGTTAGAAGTGTTATTCATAGTTTCATAGGCAGACAAAGTTCCTTGGGTGAATTTGATATCTTTTATTAGACCAACCCAAATAGTTGGAGAATAGTTATTAAGCAAGCTTTCGAGTTCAAAAACCTACACCCCTGCATAGTTTCATAATTTCATAGATGTTAGGGCTGAAAGGTAGATGTTAGATCATACAGTCGTTGACCCCCTGCCCTAGGCAGGAATGAGTGCTGGGGTCAGATGACCCCAGCAAGGTGTCTGTCCAATCTTTTTTTTAAATACATCCAAGGAAAGAGACAGTGCCACCTCCCTTGGAATTTTATTCCATATTTTGGCAACTCACACTGTGAAGAATTTTTTTCCTGATGTCCAATTTGATTTTGCTATCTTCCAGTTTGTGGCCATTATTTCTCGTTATACCAACAGGCACCCTGGTAAACATTGTACCCCTATTTCTTGCTGCCCCCCCCCCCGATGAGTTTGTAGGCAGCCACAAGATCACATCTCAGCCTCCTCTTATTATTCATTTGCCTTTTGCATGGTTTTTACCAGTTTAATTTTATGCATCCATCTTGTATTTTTGCTGTAGGACTAGTAAGTTTTGCTTCTATAACAGAGGAACATCCACACAGAAGGGAAAGTCATTCAAGTTACTGTTCTTATATGAATTCCAGGAAAAATGATAAACCTAGTAGGATATAGAAAAAAGTTGATCGATACTCTCAATAGAGAGTGAAGACCTCAGTTTTAGTTTAGGTCTTTTTGCTGTTCATGTTGGAACCATGTTACTCATGCTTGCAACAAGATTTCATAGTAAGGTGAACTCAGAGGTCCAGTAGACTTGAACATTTGCACCTCTTTATCAATTCCACCTTTTATATATTACCTTTCACATGGGGCAAAATGTGAATCCCAATTAATTTACCTCCCAAGTAGTCTAGAATAGTGAATGCAGCATTTTGTTGACTATCTTTTGTACACAGAAGTCATATTTATTCAATTTATTTCACATGACTATGAAGGAGGTCCAAGAACAAAAATAGTAATATTTTGATGGTTTTATATTTTTCCACAAATGCTTGTAAAATATTCATACAGACTTGTAATTATAAATATATGAGTATATGCCTAATATACTGATGATGTTCAGACTTATTTAAAAATAATGAATAGCTTTCATAATATTGTTTTTAATGATCTTCTCCTGAACAGTTATTGCCATTCCAAAGTGATAATATTGATAGTCATATGCTGCACTTAGAGATATGATTATTTTTATTGCATTATGGAAAATTGCTAGTAGCATTTTTATTTATTATTATGCTTATGTGTTATTATTTTTATTATTAGATCTTGAGCTTTGAGCATATTTTTTTTCCTAATGTGTTCTTATAGATTATTTGCTTGTCTAAACAGAATGAACTATGAACCAGATGCTATGCAACTATAGCAGGACTAAGCCTAAATAGAACTTAGTAGGCATTTATTAGGAATCCTAGTGAATGACTAAATATCTGGATCTCCCAGGTTTCCCCATTCCCTGTATAGGAAGCTTAGGTGCTTCATTAGGTGTACACTATCATTTAGAATCACTCTCCCAGCCTCCAGGACAAAATGGCTTAATGAAAGGTGTTTCAATTCCTAAATGGAGGCACCGGGAAGGTTCAGTATCATCTAGTGCTATACTATGACTCCTTACTGTGGAAATTAATGCATTGCTGTCTTTATGCTATGAAGAGAGCACTCTTTAAACTTCTCTTAATACTCTCTTTCTCTTGCCAGCGAACTGGCCAAGTTTGCCGATGACACCAGACTTTGGGGTAGAGCGTCCACACCTACGGATAGCATGGTGATCCAGGTCGACCTTGACAGGCTCAGAAAATGGGTGGACAAAAACCTGATGGTGTTCAGCACCAAAAACTAAAGGTACTTCACCTTGGGAAAAAAAACCCCCGCAGCATGCTTATAGGGCTTGGCAGTGCTATGCTTGCTAGCAACACAGCCGAAAGGGACTTGGGGGTCATGATTGACCACAAGATGAATATGAGCCACCAATGCAATGTTGCAGCTGGTAAAGCAAGCAAAACTCTGGCTTGCATCCATAGATGCTTCTCAAGCAAATCCCAGTAGGTCATTCTCCTGCTGTACTCAGCCTTGGTGAGGCCGCAGCTGGAGTACTGCATCCAATTCTGGGCTCCTCATTTTAAAAAGGATGTGGAGAAGCTTGAGAGAGTCCAGAGGAGAGCCACGCGCCTGATCAGAGGGCAAGAGAACAGGCCTGATGATGAGAGGCTGAGAGCTATGGGACTCTTCAGCCTGGAAAAGTGCAGGCTCAGGGGGGACCTGGTAGCCACCTATAAGTATATAAGGGGTGTACATCAGGATCTGGGGGAATGCCTGTTCACCAGATCACCCCAAGGGATGGCAAGGTCAAATGGTCACAAACTCCTCCAAGACCATTTCAGACTGGACATAAGGAAGAACTGCTTTACTTTCGGAGCCCTAAAGGCCTGGAACAGACTGCCTCCAGAGGTGGTGCAAGCACCTACTCTGGACTCCTTTAAGAGACATTTGGATGTTCATCTTGCTGAGATCCTTTGACCACAGCTGACTTCCTGCCCCTGAGGTGGGGAGCTAGACTCGATGATCTTCCAAGGTCCCTTCCAGCCCTAATGTCTATGAAATCTCTCTTAATTTTTAACATACTGAAAGATTACCTCACCTGTTAACCCTTTTATTTTAGTTTATTAATTTATTAATTGTTAAAAATACTTTGTACTCTTGTCTTTTTTTTTTGTCCTTTCTGAAATGTATTGATCGGTGTGTATCATACCGCTGGTATCTAGCCAATGGACCAACAGGGTCTTCTACTAGGTGTGATTGCAAATGGTAAAAATTTCAAACATTTTCTCAAAGGATCATCTAGGTTATGAAATTGGTGTTCAGATGTCTAGATCATGAAATTTCTGCTGTTCTTAGACTGTTAATAGCAAAGAGATTACCTTTCCTTTTCAAACTTTTCAATCCTTTCTACACTAGGATAATGGGCTGCTAGGATGATCAGTAATAATCACACTAGGATAATCATGGCCAAGAAGAATTATTACAATTAATAGAGATATGGCAGGGTGGGGTGTTACTTTACTAATTAATTCAGAGAAAGGCATGAACTGTTTTTGCAACAATGTGAAAGGATTTGCTATTTGTTTATGCTCCAGTGGATGCGGTTGCATAGGAACAGACAAAGTGTGACCGACCGCCTGACTGACTGACTGACTGACTGACTGACTTCTCAAATGTTATAGGCTAAGCATTATTAGGGCAAAGGCCATGTTTATTGGGAACCTGAGCTTAAGCTCCTACTGTAACTGATTCATAGCAACACTTTTTTATCCCAGATCAATCTGAATCTCAAAGAGTAGGAAATCAAACCTGTCCATTACCCTAGAAGTGATGAGAGAATTCTGGAACCAGATAACTTTTGACATCAATTTTTGGTGAATGTTTTGTCAAAAGTTCTTTAGCTTTTAATTGACTTGGCTCCATAGACACTCTACACTAGTAACTGGGTTATACATCCTATGGGATTTCTCATTTTTCTGGCAATAGCAAAATATTCATTTTTATTCAGCCATTCTGAAATAAGGTGACCAAGGATGATAGTTTTCACTTCACATCAGATGTTTGAGTATAAGAATTGCTGGTCTTGCTATTTTTATACAATCTATCAGTTACACTTTGTCTTTTTTAGGTGGCTTGCTCATTTATTATTCGGAGAAAGTGTTGCTCAATGAGAGCCTCCTACATGGCCATTATGCAGGCAGAGAGTGAGCTATGGTCAGAGAAAATTCTTCTTCTTTTCTACCTTATTAAAATGGGTGATTCTGTAACAGTATGCTCATCTGCTTCAGGAACTACTATTTCCACCTTAGAAAAATTTACCAATGCAGCCTTTGAGTCAACACATTACTTTATAGCCTTTAGTTACATTTGAACTAAAGCTCTTGTAATGGTCTCCTTCTTTCAGTTCATGTTTAAGCAGTTTTCAAGAAAAAAAATATCTGGAATTACCTGCCTGGCTGAAAGTATGTAAGAATAAGGAAGCCATTCTGTAGACTTGATTTCCTGCATCCTTCCTGTGTCTCCTTTCAATGAAATCTCTTCTGAGGACAACTCTTGAGTATTTGTCTCTTCTGCTGTTTCTCAGCATACTGTGTGGAATGTCTTTTGATGGTTCAATCAACAGTGAAGGAGGAGGAGTCATCTGACTCAAAAAATAGTTTTTTTTCCTAGCCATTGTAAATTCAGAATACAATTACTTTGAATGCTGATGGATCAATTTGCTAACAGATTAAGATCTTTTTCTCATGTCTTGTCAGCTAGGGCTGTATGAAATAGCACCATTTTGTTTCGACTTCCGTTTCACTATTTCAAAGGGATAGTCGTTCATTTCACTGTTTTGAAGCACTGTTCTGTTTCATTTCACTGAAACTCTTTTGCTGTTTCAACACTGTTTCAATGTGTTCTGAAGTTTTGGCCATAGGCTATAATCACAAAAATGCCTATAATGTTGTCATTTCTTGCCTGATTCAGATGAAAATTACAAGGATGGTAGCCACTTCTTAGAGCATGAAGCCTGCCAAGTTTCAGGGAGATACGTGCACAGGTTTTTGGGAAACTGCACCTCAAACTGTTCAAACCAAAGCTAGTATCACTTGCCAGCAGTGGCAGCCTGCTGTCATCCCACATGCAGATCCGGGGGCCTGCGCTCACTGGGAAGAGTCCAGCACAACCCTGCAGCCCTCCCAGGAGGTTTGGGCCCCCAGATCTGCATGCAGCATGACCCCATGCTGCCACTGCCAGCTGGGGTCAACACCAGCACTGGGTTCTTCCTGGTGCTCAGTGCAGGCTGTGCTGGGCAGACTCGGGTGCTAGTGCTTGCTCCACAGCTGGTGAGTGCAGAGCTTTAAAAAAAATAAATAACATCCCTGCAGTCAGTGGCTCTGGCAGTGGTGACTGGGGCCTCTGGATGCTTGTGGCAGAGCCCTCCTGTGCAGCACAGAGCAGGGGGGCGGCAGTGGGGATTGCCCCCCCCCCCTGCCTGGCACCCATGCAGCAGCTGCACCATCGCATGGGTGCAGCATGGCTTGGCAGGATACTGTGCACTGTCCCAGAGCTGGGGTGGATCCACCTGTCAGCCAGAGCTCCCAGTTTGATTCCCCAGCTCTCTGATCATTCCACCAGCTCTTCCTGTGGGGTATGGCCCCCCAGATCTGCACATGGGGTTTCAGCAAGAGGCTACTGCTGCTGCTGGGTGGGAAAACAACCCAGAGCTGCCGCCATCCCCAGCTGGCAGTGGCAGCCTGTTGTCATCCTGCATCATCCAGGGGCCCATGCCCCCCAGGAAGAGCTGGGGGAAGCAATCAGAGAGCTGGGGGAAAGATCAGGGAGCTGGGGAATCATTCCCCCAGTCTCTGGCTCGATTCCCCCACCTCTCTGATCATTCACTCAGCTCTTCTTGGGAGGCGTGGGCCACCAATCTGTGTGCTGGGTTTCAGTAGGCTGCCTCTGCAGGCTGGAGCCAGTTGCAGCACTACAGTCTTCCCAGCACTTGGTGCAGGCTGTGCCAACCAGCTGCTACTGGCCCCAGTCTGCAGCACCAGGCTGTTGAAACCCTGAGCGCAGATTGGGCGGCCCATGCCCCCCAGGAAGAGTTGGGGAAATAATCAGAGCTGGGGAATCAATCCGGGAACTAGATGTCAATATCAGAGCAGTCCTTTCCCACTCTTCCCCTTCCCTCTCCTTAGTTTCTGTTTAGCTGCAAGCAAGCCTGGCTTGAAACAACTCAAAATGTTTTGAGTGCCCTTGTTTTGTTTTGAAGCTGTTTCAAGGCCTTTCATTTCATTTTGATTTTGCTGTTTCAAGCTCAAAGTGCATTGAAACAGCTTTGAAATGAAACACCCATTGAAATTTTACACAGCTCTACTGTCAGCATGTTCAAATGTGAGTCCAGAAATGGGCACACACTATTGCTCAATCAGTAGCTTGGCAAGGTTTTCATTGGTACATGTTCCTCCATACAGTCCAGTAGGTGTTCAATAATCTGAGTTTCCTTCGCATATGGTGTTTGCCTCAGTAGAGTATCCCCACATTAGCACAATAACTTTAGTCTTACTCACCCATCTTTGGAGGTGGTTCAAGCTTCTCCCTGTTGGCCAATAAAGCTTTGTGCCTAAAGGATGTTCAGCAGTTTTGAAATTCATCCTAAGACCTCCTCAGTCATCTCTAGTCATGATTACCATAGTTTCATTTCCATAGCTGTCAGGACTCCATCCAGTGGCTGCAGTAAAGAAAGGAAATTTTTCTGTGATTTTAGTGTACTGGGAGCTGCAATGTGTCCATGCATTCTAGTTTGCTTGCTACTGCTCATCTGGGCTAAGAACAGACATTACACATAAACCAGTATAAGTGATCAGAAACCCATTCAAATCTGTAACACAGTAGAAGTTTAATTCAAATAAACAGCTTTAAAAATGGCCAAAACTGGTTTAAGATAAACCTGGATAGTTATAGTATCAGACTTAACTAATTTAGGTTAAATTGGTTTATTGAACTTCTGTTCCAGACCCTCTCTAGATTCATGTTAATTCACAATCCCCCAGCATCCAGGGATGGGTTAGCCTTGGGCCAAGCTCTCTGCTGCAACCAAGCAGGGAGGTACGCTCTAGCCTGCCCCCTCCCCCCCCCCCGCCCCCAGCTTCTCGCCTGGGCCACTGCAGGCATGTAGCTGCATTTCTGGAATAAAAAAAAAAGTGTGTGTTCACATGCTTATTGGTTCAAGCTATGCAGCTTAGACTAACCTGCAAAGATTGAATCAACTCATCATTAGGCTTTTTTACTATCTGTACTGAGCCCTGGCATGTGGTGGAGCAATTCTGGTGAGTAAGTGGAGACTACTGACATTTAGGCTGCTGACATATGTGAAAAAACAAACAAACCTCTGTTAGAATAACAACCAGTTCTTTTCTTGCAGCAATAGTTTCTCAGCAAATGGGTCTGCTTCACACAGCCTGTTTTATTTCATGTATATATCCACTGATTCTGGTGCTAATCTCAGCATGCAGTTCATTTTGCAGCCTCTTGGGATATGTTTTTTTTGAGATGTTATGTAGTATTTTCACAAACTGCCCATAGTTTTTTGGTGTTGGCAAGATATTTACTATGGTAGTATTGAGGTGCTTGGTGAAGTTATCCCACTTCACTGTCTGAATTGAAATGGTGTCAAAGGAGAACTAAAATTAGTGTTATGGATACTTTGATTTGTAAAATGATCAGGTAACATTATGGGGGAAGAACATTTTCCACAATGGTTTTGTCACAAAATCAGCGACATTTTTACTAGAAGATGCCAGGTTGGGATTTTAATTTCTTTTCCAGCAGCTAATATTACAGGATTTGGGAAGCTTTGGATCATGGATGAAGCTCAAATTCTGCACCTCTGCCCATGCTTCAACCTATTCCCCTTTTAGGTGGTGGTATTGAACCCAGTTGATGGTATGGTTGTTAAAGTCACCAATGATCACTCATGTTTCATCATAGCTGAGGTTTGATGGACTTGTAAATGTAAAGCTTTTCTTCAGTGTTTTGTAGATTGATATGATATAAATTCTACAGGTATCTATTATTAGTATTTTCATCAGTCATAGCTGTTGTGTGGATGAGGTGAGGTTTAAAGAAGACTGCACTGCTGTATTGTTTGTGGGGTGTCTTGATAGCAAGCTCCATCCCTGATCTCTGGGGAGGTTATGTTTCCCCCCCAAACTTCTTGTGCCTCTTGAAGATATAGTACTTGGCAATCACCCTTATAGGTGCAATAATTCCTTGTTAATGACTGAGTCTCCTTCAACATTCACAAACATTATCGTCAGTACCAGCCCTAATAGGGATCTTTTATGATGCTTATGGTGACTTAACATAGCTTTGATTATGGCTTTGAGTATAACTTTGATTGAGGTGACAGGTGTGTAGCAAGATTTGCAGATTTGAAGAATCAGACAGGGGTCACATTCCTGCTGTGGTGAAGAGAGAGTACTAATTTATTTCTGCTACTGTGCTGAATATCCAGTTCTTTAAACATCTATGCATAATGTGTAGGAAAAATTCTTCAAAACTGCATAACCATGAGAAACTTTCAATCTGAGGGACAATGCTGGAAATGTCCAACTGCCAGTACTAAAATCTGCTTATATTTTCTGAGTATTAAAGATGACAATAGGATGATAAAAAGATTGCATCCTACATGAAGGAAAATTTATATAGACTTTAATAATTCTAAATAGTAAGATTCCAGGGCAAGTAGGTCTAAGAAGGAAAGGACATACAGAGATTTGACACTTGCTTAAAAAAAGTAACATTAATGGTACAAGTGCAAACTAGTCCAACACCAAGGTAAGATGGAGTGTATAGTATGAGACCAAGACAAAGTGAAATCCAGCTGGCAAGAAACTTAAAACACAACAAGAAAATCTTATTCTTAATGTACTCATATAAAAGTTAAGTTCAATGGAGTTAGTGGAGGAAATAACTACAGATGGTGTTAAGAAGACCAAAGTGTTTAATGTCTTTTGACATTTAATTTTGACTTGGTCACAAAAAAAAGTTAGTTTGACCAAATGTCTGCCACTGTTAACCATTTTGTCTGCCTGTGTTATGGAAGTAAAAGCTCAGGCTAGAATGGAGAAAGAAGATAGGTGTAGATGATCAAAAAATAAAGAGTTAAATGTTTTCAAATTAGCTGGCTCTAATAAAATTTATTAGACTACAGTATTTATTTAGGGAACTGGCTAAACCATTTCAAAGTGATTAGCAATCATCAGAAAGGAGAAGGACAAAGAGACTGCATACTCCTAACAAAAGTCAAAAGGAACCATGGAAATGTAAACCAGTTAGATTAATTCCAAGAAAAATACTGAACAAATAATTAAGTGATCTGTTTATAGACTTCTGGAAAATAACAATATGAAAGTGTTGATGATAAAATAGTCTACCTTTTTTATTTTATTTTTTTAAAACAAATACATATCAAAACTAACCTATTTCCTGTTGTGGCCTTGTAGATAGGGAAAAATAATAGATGCAATATAGCTTCAGTTTAATAAAGCTTTGTCATACAATATCTCCATAAGCAAACTAGGGAAATATGATCTAGAGGAAAGTGCAATGAGGTGGTGTAGCAATTTGCGGCTCTAGAAGCAGCTGTGACACCCCTTGGTGACCATGAAACACTTTCCCTATTCCAGCTCTAGGGTACTCTCCCCTGCTCACTTGCCTGCCATTCTTGATGTATTTAACTTATCAGAAGGAAGGCTGTCTAATGGAGCATAAGCTGTTTTTGCCCTGACAGTCAGCAGGTCCCTCCTGAACTCCTCTGTTTCAACCTTGACTTCAAGATAAGTGGACCCTGTCAGCTCATCTGTGCTCCCTAGGGCATCTGTAGTCTTAAGAGCTGTTCAGGGCTACAGCCACACCCATGCCTCGCAGGTGTTACGGTATAATCTCTCTTGTGAAGGCTTTAGCCTTCTTGGTCTGCACCCCTTTTTCTCTAACTGGGCTGTCTAGCCTGGGCCTGCTGTTCTGGACCAGGCTTCTAGGCACTAGTTCTCATTTAAGTTACTTCAGCCCTGGGTCCCTGGCCCTGTCTCCATTCTGCTCTGGCTCTGTCTGGGCCCCCTAGTCCCATCTTCACCCTTCCTTGGGCAATGAGCCTGTTTGGCTCCCATTGGGCCCTTTGGCCTGGTCTTGCCTGAGTCTCCTGGCCCTGTCACAGCCTTTCTCTGTACACTGGGTTCTGGACAGTGTCACTGCCCTGTTCTGGGCATTGTTGGGACCTCCTCTTGGGCCTAATAGTCTTAAAACCCAAACTGCCAGTGTGAACTGTAACAAAGAAATAAGTACACTGGCTATAACACAGACTAAACCCCCACTGGGTCCAAACATCAACAGTAGTTTACCGACAGAGCAGCCATATCTCCCCTTATCCTGGGTAATATCCCCCTGATGCGAACCTCCAGCACTGTACTCACATCCTTAGGGGTTTCCAGGAGTCAGCAGAGCTCCTTCCTGTAGGCTTCAGGCAGGAATTCTTTACCCTGCAGCTTGCTGGGCTAGACTTCCTGACCTGGCTCAGGTCCTGGGCTTATATGCTGCCTAAGCCCTCTCCCTTCTGGTCAGGCGTCACTCCAGCTGAACACGGGTTTCATTAGGGCCTGATGGCTGGCGGCCGTGGCAGCTTATGACTGCTGCTTTAGCAGCCTCTCTTCTGCACAAGCTAGTTTTTGCCCTACCAGCCTGTTTCCTTAGCTGCCTAGTCCCTTGCAGTCAACTCCCCCTAGGCAAAGTTCTCCTGATTGGCCACAAGTGTGCCCTTTCACCCTAATAGGCAGCTCCCTGTCTCAGCAGAAATGCTTCTTTGCTGCCTTCCTTCTTTTGGCTAGCCCTTGCTCAGCCTTGTGGGCTCTATCTGTTGCCATTCCTCTCATTAAAGTAGCACAAGCCCAAGGCTCTGTATTACAGGTGGGTATGCAACTGGCTTGAAAACTGTACTCAGAGAGAAGTAAGTAATGATTCACTCTCAAAGTGGAAAGTTGTACCCAGTAGATTCTTCAGGAGTCTGTCCTTGGTCTGCTGCAAGTCAATATTTTCGTTAATGACACATATAATGGGATTAAGAATATATTTTATTACATTTTCAGATTATACAGAACTGGGAGAGGTGACAAGATCTTTGGAAGATGGAATTTGCAGATACTGATAAATAGAATAAATGATCTGAAATAAATAGAATGAAAATCAGGAGGCACAAGTAGAAAGAAACACATTTACAAATACAAAATAGGGAATGAATGGCTGATGAGCACTCTGCAAAGGAAGATATTTGGATTAGAGTTGATTGCAAGCTGAATAAATCAATAATGTTATATGGTGGACGCATAGGGGGAAACAATACTAAACCGGGATATGTAAATAGTGCTTATATGCAATATATATAAAGTAATCTTTCACTCTTCACTTGCCTGGTACAGCTTCATGTGAAATATTGTCCACTTTTGAGCATACCACTTGAACAAAGATGTGAATCAGCTGGTGAGAGCCAAGAGGAGAACAGCAAAAGTCATTAAAGATCTAGAAAAAGTGACTTTTAAGGAAAAAGTAAAAGAATTGCATTTAGTCTTGAGAAGAAAATATTGAAAAAAAGCCGCAATAGCTCTCTTCAAATATATGAAACGATACCTGTTACAGATATAGACTTAGGTGTAAGAACAGTTAAGAACTGGAACAGGTTATTCAGGGATGCTGTTGAATCCCCATCACCACCGATCACCTAAAAATAAGTATAGTTGATCCTGGCTTGGGGCAGAGTCAGCCTAGGTAACTTCTCAGGCGTATCATGTTTGTTGTCCATGATTGTATGATTAATAGTGACTGTTAATAAGTGACCATAACTGTATCACATATGCTAAATGCAAACAGAATGAAGTCCAAATAAAAAATATACATGTATGTTAACAAAGCTGAAAATAATTATAAGCCAATCAGGTTGCAGTTTAAAGAGGTAAAAGTGAATGGGAACTAGGACCTGTTTAAGAACATTGTATTAGATCCCTTAGATTGTTAAGACACTTAAGGTAGTTGAGCTGTTGGGGTCTGAGGAATTGTATGCCCCCTTCCCAAAATCATGTAATCTTCCACACCACATATGTGCAGTAGGTCACATGGTTTTGGGGAGGGAGCATAACATTCTTCAGGCCCTAATTGGGAGATTGGCAACTACCAGGGCTGTCCTGTTCTTATCCCAATGACTTGGCCTGTCCTTGAAAGTTGCTAAGACGAACATTTTCCACCCCCCCCACCACCGGGCCAGCTGAACGTCCCTTGTGCTATTTACGTAGATGGGGAGGCTCTGGAGTACATGGAGCACTTTCCGTATCTCAGCAGCCACCTCTCTCAATGGGCTACCATCTATGAAGAAGTCCAGCACTGGGTCAACTACACCCATAACACCTTCAAGCTGCAACAATGTGTCTTTGAAAATAGGATCTTCTGAAGTCAACAAAGGTCCTGGTTTGTAAGGCTGTCATGCTGCCCACCCTCTTCTACTGCAGTGAAGCCTGGACCATCTACCGATGCCACATTAAGACCCTAGAGAGCTTTCATCAGCAGTGCTTGCATCGAATCCTGGGGATCAAATGGGAGGACAGCCAGGCCAGCATGAGCATCCTCCATGAAGCTGTGTCCATCAGCATGGAAGCCTTGCTCTTGAGACATCATCTCTGATGGACAGACTACTGCGTCTGGATGTTCAAGAACTGCCTCCCTTGCCAGATTCTCTTCTCCCGGCTCTCCATTGGCCAATGCTCAAAGAGCAACCAAAGGCAATGGTACAAAGACATGCTCAAAGTCACCTCAAGCATGGAGGCATTGACACCAATGGCTGGGAGTAGCAAGCTGCTGACTGTTCAGCATGGTGCCACCTGGTCCATCAAGGTACGTGCTGCTTTGAGGCCCAACAACTCAATACCAAAGCAGAACGATGGTGGTGGAGGAAGGAGAAGGAGACCATACTGGGGCTGTGAATCCCCTGCGCAACAACATGCCCCCATTGCCAAAGAATGTGTGAATCTAGAATCAGGCTCCTCAGTTATCTGAGGACCCATCAAGCCTGACAGACATCATCCTCAACTTTGAGGGACTGCCAACAATGAGACAACAAGACCAGCTGATCATCAGGATCTAGTAGGCGGCAGCCCCTGGGTGTCGGAAACAGTCACCCTATAGAAAATCTCTGAGGTTAAGCAGGGGACATCCCTGGCTTCCATACTGAGACCTGGGACTGCCTCTTGCCTTAACACAATGTGAAGGCTCCTGAAGGGGCATCAGGGCAAGACACGAAACCTGCCATGACATTCTAGTACTCTTTGCCTGATTCTAGACCTGGGACTACCTCATATGGATGCTGAAAATGAGGTGAATGTTGGCCCCAGGTCTGGAACATACAACACTTCCAATTTATGGTGCCATACCAGCGACAAAGATGTTCAACATTTTATGGTGCTTAAATTGAGTTAATATATGCCATATTGCATATTATGCTGTGCTTAAATTCAATATCTGCCAGCATTCTTTAAAGCCACAATAAAGAAGAATGACTAGTCTGAATGAAGGAAAATGCAAATTAAAATATATATGGCTTAGGGGAGAAATGGAAGTAGCTATAAAATAATAATAAAAGATACAATCAATGGCATAAGGATAGAAATAAATATAAATCTGAAGCTAGGGATTATGGAAAATATATAAAGAAAGAAAATGGATACAGGAAGGAATCTATAACTGGCAGAGTTAAGGAAAAGGAGGAGTTCTTAAAGTATATTATCGGTTGTCAATAATAATGCAGAAAAGTCAGATCTGTCCAATAAATATTTCTCTTCTGTGTTCAGGGAAAAACCAGATAATGCCATTTTATTCCAGAATGATGAAACATTTACCGTATTGTTAGTAATTTAGGGAACGTTATACAGCAGTTACTAAAGTTTGACCTCTTTGCATCAGCAAATCTAGATAATTTGCATCCAAGAGTATCAAAAGAGCTAGCCAAGGCGATCCTGTCATTTATTGCTGATTTTCCTTTAACTGTGAGCACTAATGAAGTTCCAGAAGAGTGTTAGAAACTAATAGTGTGCGCAAAAATATGAACAGGAAGATCCAGGTTGTTGGTCTGAGGTGCTCAGGGGTTGGGAAGGTTTCCAGCAGCCTCCTGCCTGCTGTTGCTCTTGGTGTTCAGTCCACTTGGGTTAGGGTGCTCTCAGAGGCAGTTGTCTGCAACCAGCATCCTAGAGCTCAGGTGCAATAAAGAAAGAATAACTCAAATTTGTCTTTGGTGTTGAAAGCCCAGATATGTGAATTGTCTTTTAGGACAGTAGCTACCTAGTTACATACCAATCAGAATAGCAAAACCGCCTAGACAATGGTAAGTGACACATTACATGCATAGGTGCCCCTTAAGTCACTTGTAACTCCTTATTTATAGTCTAGGTGCCCCCCACTCTACTAATTCTCATCTCTCTCTCTCTCTCTCTTTCTCTCTCTGTGTCAAGATGGCCCTTTTGATTTGACTTTTTTGCCAGGTCCAAACACCTGTAGCTCATTTCTTGCCAACTGAAGCTCCTCCCTTACAAGTTTGAGCATCTAGAGTTTACTCCTGTACTGAATTTGAGTATCTTCAGCTTACCCTGATGAGTACAGCTTGCTTCTTGTTATCTCTACGTTAGCAAGTTCAAACTGTTTACTCTTTAACTTGTTCAGCTATTGTTTCTTACTTTGAATTAACATTTTCACTCATTACATCTTTTATCAGGTCATCCAGCAGTTCAGTGAAGCCTGTTACTCCCAAAGTAATTAGTGTCTTAGCTTAACTATAGTTTAGCAGAACTACAGCCTTGTGCAACTGAAACTCCTACACAGGTAATTATGGATTTGTCAAGCTGAATTTGTTCCATTATTTTTTTCTGGATGTGGTTGATATAGGACTTGATTAATTAAAGGAAGATAACATAATTAAAGCCAATCAACATAATATTATAGATAATTGATCCTATAAAATTAACTTGATATCTTTTTCTGATGATCTTGTAAAATCTTAGTATTTGTGTAAAACGTTTAGACTTTTGTTATACAGTGACTTGCTAATGCCTGACGTTTGATTAAGAAAAAAAGGACAATATCAAATCATCATTATAATTGAAAAGGTTTAAAACTTGTTAACTATCTCACGATATAAATGTAAACGTGACATCTAGTTAGATTCCCAGCTGGGTTCTGTTTTGCCCTTATGTTATTCAATATTTTAATGAATGACATGGAGGAAGATCTACAATTGTCATGCATATTTGTAAATGACATACAGGTTGGGGAAGTGGCATATAACGTACAAGACATGACACTGATATAATATGACCCGAGTTGCTTGGTAAGATGAGTACAAGAAAACAATGCTAGTTTTAATATGGCTAGATATAGTCATATGTATTAGTTGGTATCTGAGGACACTATCTGAGCACACTACCCCTTGTGCCATCTGGACTGTT